GTTACTTTTTCTCCTTACTTTAATTCACCTTTCAGTTCTCTTGGCACCCAGTGCATGAGGGTCGACTCCTATTTGGCACTGCTACAGGGCAAGTGGGTTGGACTGATGTAGCATCAGGGCGAGTAACCACTTTTGCTTATCACCATCAGAAGTCAGTATACAAGGTTGAATGGGGCTTACCAGTTTGTCCTGAGAAAACAGGTTAGTGTCATAGGCGGACAAAATTTTGGTTGATTATGAAATTATTAGGAATAAATAATGTATATAATAGTGCACTTGTGAATTATAACAATGAAATAACCCTAATATCTATATATTTTTTTAAATGTAAGACTATATATTTTAGAAGTGTATCACTCAAATAGAATTTTGATTTTTGATGACAATATGAATATAGTTATTTATTTTTTTCTCACTGGGAATCAATAATAATTTGGCATTTTGTATCTAGGATCATCTGAGGATTGGTATGCATACTCCTTTGGTGACAGAGAGATAGTAATGCGAAGCTCATCAGACCCCATGGCAGGTAAAGCTTTGCTCTTTGATTTTTGGTTGTATCTCAAAATAGAGTTATTTGATCATTCATAGCAGAAAACAGGAAGTAGATTGATGAATGCAAATACTGGTTATTTGTTTATTTGTTTATAATCAACTATTTTTCAGATCCTGTTTGCCTTCAAAAGCTTGTGGCAGAGTCAGAGATAAATGCCTTGCCAAAAGATGTGACAGAATTTTCCTTCAGTCCTGACTACAAGTACCTTGCACTTGGTTCTCAGGATGGGTATGCTGTAATTGTAATTGTTATTGATGATAAAAAGGCCTTAAAAATATGACTTGAAGCTTTATACTGCATTTTATAGTAGTAATGAGTAATAAGGTATGATGTAACAATAAACTGTAAAAAAGAAAAAAATTACTAGGGACAAGCAATCATGAAAATGTATTATTCCAACTCTCAGTCAGGTGCGAGTGTATCGAAGAGCTGACTTATCCTTGGTGGTGACTCTGGCTGTGGTGAGGAAAACCATCCAGCATTTGTTGTGGCGTCCACCAATGCAAAGCCATTACTCTGATGTCCTAGCTGTGGCATCCAGTGAAAAGGAGATATACATATTTGATATGGAGAAATATCTACAGGGTGAGATAACAGTTGTGCATTTTTAGAAATGCTATTTAATCATAAGTTATGAAAATACAAAATAGATTGCAAATTTAATAATTTTGCCTGTTTTATTATATATTTGCTTTCCATTAAACAGTTAACCCCCCTATGGTCCTGTTATTCATGATTGTGGCTTTTTTCATAATGAGCAGCTGGTACAATTTGCTACAGTTGTGCAGGCCCTGCCAAAAATTGCCAGGCTTTCTGCTGAAACTTTTTCTCTATTAATGCAGTGTATGTAGTGGCCAGTAAAGTATCTTGTATTGTTTAGCAATTTTCTTGCAGCCACACCCATGATATCATCTCAGTACCTCTCTCTCCTTGAGCTAATCGTACATTTGTCTTATCCTCCCTCTTTTGTCTTGTAACTTAGTGAGTATGAATTAGTAACTCTGGCACTGTATGACATAATTTGTCCAGCCAAACCAGCTATCTTATTGTCTCCCATATTCCCCCTCAGTATACCTTACTATTAGATATTCTGCTTATACTGTATAGAATCTGGATACTTGTAGATAAATCTAAATACCTAGTTTATTGTATTATAAGGTAAGAATGATTTTGTAGCTTTATTTATATGTTTATAGTAACATATCACCTTGTTTTTTCATACATGAGAAGTAAGTGTGATTATTTTGCTTTCTGTAGACAGTCCATGTAGCCCTAAATGATAAATGGCAATGAAATGCATATTTCTTGGTATATAAAATCAAGCTCTTGAAATGCTATTAATGAAAAATTGCCCTAGTAACTTAAATAGACAGTATAGATGGTTTGTAGCTAGTAGGGATTATGTTATAGATATGAATAGAGACATTGAGAAACCCCTTTTTTCAAACAATAGGTAGCGCTTATCTTTTTATACTATACCTCTTATACATTTAGCAATTAAAATCACATTTCTTTTACAGATGACAAAACTGGCAGTGTTGTTACCCAGGCCACACGTGATCTTCAGGGGCACGAATCACGTGTTGTATGGTTAGCTTGGTCTCCTCATGAAGATGGAATTCTTGCTTCTGCATCATATGATCACACTGTTCAGTTGTGGGATACCAAAACAGGTGCTTACTTCATCTGTTCTAGTTGACTGTTTCATTTGATTTCAGCTTATTTGAAAACTCTCTTTTTTTCAAACAACATACATTTTATGATATAATGCTCTATTTTAGCCTTTTGATATTGTATATGGGATTGTAAGCCAGAGAGCTTAATTTTGCTTTTATCAATTAGAAGTCTTATGTCTATTTGTATATTCTTTTTGAAAGTAATTAAAAAGATGTATTATTGTTTTTTTATTTATTTCTGATTGGCTTGTCACCATTGTATATAATTTCATTAAAAAAGAAATAAATGTATACAACATATCAATAAGTTTTGTTTCATCAGGGGAGCCTAAAGTAAACTATGGTGGCCATCTCAACCGTGTCTTCAGAGTGGAATTCAGCCCCTCTGATCCTGATCTAATGTACAGTTTTGCTGATGAAAATAGTGTGCATGTGTGGCGTCCATCAGAACAGACAGCGAAGACGCCAGCAGAAAGAAGTGGTGGGTACTATGTTTAAGTTAGTTATTTACCCTGTAATACATGTAGTTATTTTTACACAGGTGTGGTATAACTCAAGTGGTTTATTGTGTCGACATTTAAAATAATGTTGCAATTTTCACAGCAAATTTGAAGGATATCCGAACCAAGAAACCAAAGGACAAGGAGACAGAGACAGCTGAAGAGACTCAGAGCAAAGCTGTTGAATCATCACTGTCTGCAGAGAGTAAGTGATGAAAGGAAAGTTGAATTAAACTAAGAGGAAAGTGATGTCTGTTAACCCACTCACCATGTCTACTGTAGGTTTTGGTGAATGTTGTTGCACATCAATTAGGCCCTAGTGACTGCTTGAATTTATGGGGAAATGTTTTTTCTAGCTATTAATCCATTGGATCCTAGTTGTGTCTCAGCAGTCAAGTCACCAAAAATCTGGGTATTAGGCTTATGTGAGCGGCTGCTGTGCCGGGTGGCTGCGAAGTTATTTACTCTTTGTATGTGTTTTTAGCTGTTTGGCTATTTTCCAATATCCATATTTGCTTTTTTGAGATGCATTATCCAGATGGTAATAGTTTTTTTTCTTTGCACAAACTCCAATCATCCAAGTAGTCTACAACCCAGTGCAAGAAAAAAAGATTATATGACGCTATGTTATTTGTCATTTTTAAAATTTTTATGTAATATTAGATTTTACAACCTGCATCCTCCATGGAGCCGGCACTCTTCCAGTCACTGCTCACGGACATCGATGGGAATAATGCAGAATCGCCAAATGAGTAAAATAAACCTCCCAGTTGTTTTGTGCACTTATGGCAAATTCACTTCACCCGGCCTACCATCAGATTTTTCTGTGACGGCATGTTCATGTCACCTGCCCCTCAACCCGGATTTTTTCATGACATGATGGTCACGTCACCTGGATTCTAGGGGTTAATGTTGATACTTTTATAAAATTTTTTGATAGTATGATTATTATAATATTAATAGTAAAAAAATCAAGGAAAAGGGTAAATAGGTGATATAGATATGACTAATAATTGAATTTGCATGAGACTGCTGTTTTACTCTACAGCTTCATTTTCACTAATGTGCTAATGAGAGACTATGGTCACTTTTATCAGTTAGTTCCAAATTCTGTGCCACATTTAAATTCAAATGGTTTATTTTTAACAACTGAATTGTAATGATTGCTAGGTTATTAAGTAAATTCACAATTCAGAAGTTACTAAAATATTACTTAAACAACCTGTTTTCTTTAGGGACATCAAGACCAGTATACCCTATAATACTCAAAATGAATGCACATTTTAAAAATTTAGGATTAACCCCTTGGATCAAGGTGCTTCACTGCCAGCATGTGGCCCAAAATCTGGGCATTAGGCTTATTTGTGTGGCCACTTTAATGGGTTATAGACTGGGCAGTATCAAGACTCCTTGTCTTCCGTTTTCAATGTTATTATACCTTTTTCTGCATAATTGTTTTTATTCTTATTTGAGGTTTTCCAGTATATATATTTGTCATTTGATATGCTGTATCCAAATGGTAATAGACTGTTTTTCCACAGACTTAGTATTATCTCTCTAGGTAGTCTATAACTCAGTGCAGTGATAATAACAATAAGTAACATTTTATTATTTGTCTTTTTTTTTTGTAATATTCAGTTTTCTGTAATAGAACTTGAGCCACTGGCCACAATTGGCAGGAATAGGAACCTGAACATGGAAATAGTGTCCTCCCTGGAGCTGGCACTCCTCCAGTCATGGCTCAAGGATGGTACATTCCACACTTGTTTATTGATAGAAATGATGCTAGAGCCCCTTCCTAAATGCCCATTGAATCAAATCACCCTCCAAGAGCTTTGTGCACTCATGGCGAGTCATTCCCTTCACCCCAGCCTTCAGCTGAAATTCTCATGATGGCATATTCCTGTCACCCTAGTTGTCAGCCAGATTTTTCCATGACAGCATGTTCATGTCACTTGCCTCTCAAATCAATTTTTTTCATTATGTGATGGTCATGTCATATGGATTGTAAGGGTTAAATCACAATACTGATAAAAAAACAGTCCAATAAATGTTATAATGGAGATTTAAATCAAGAGCTCCTGTAATTCTCATTTTTTGAAATCTGAAATTTACAGAAAAAAATGGGGGAACCAGTGTCACAAGTGGGACAAAATCTACAAGTATCAGTGCAGCAGCAAGTAAGAAAGGACATTTTAAGTCGTTCTTCCCAAAGTTCCATACTGTTTGCTCGAAGAAGAAGAGTTTCCACCACTTACTCTTATTAAACTTGTTGAATCAGACCAAGACTGCGGGAACTGGGAATGGGCATCTTGAAGAGCAAGTAGAAGATCTAGAGGATTTGGAAGAGGAACTGGAGGAAGAGAAGAAGTAAGACTTGACTGTCAAAAAGATCTTTTTGAAATATTTCTTTCCATCCGTATTTTTCTTGATTTGAAGAATTGATTTAGGGTTAGGTGATATGTTTTATGGTGATACATATGCAATAAGTGACTTGTTATGAAGTCTCAGTAAAGGTAGGAATGTGGAGCATGAAATGACAGAATGGTGCATTTTTCCAGTTCAGAAGAGGAGGTAAAAGAAGGGAAATTACCAGGCATTAGATCCTTGTGTGAAAAGTATTCTTGTTTGCTGGAGAAAGATACTGAGATGCCTGAACCAGAAGACATAGAATATGCCCTAAGTCTGTATGGAAATCCTGATCAGATTGATGGACTCCTAGCTGCTGAAAGTAAGTGTTTTGGATATGTACATATATGTATCTTGTAGCAGCATTAATAATTAGTATCATTAAGATTAGAATGTAATTATAATATCTTATTTATTTTGACATTCAGTTGATGCCCATGAGAAGAAGGAGAATACAATCCAAGCAGGACTGATCCACTGCTGGCAAGGCTCCTTGGCAGACCACATTCGCCAGGCTGCTAAGCAGAGGAAGCTCAGCGAGTTTCTGGTGGCGTCTGCACCACAGGTCTCCATGAAGTAAGCATATATTGGTAGAAAAATCCACAATGTACAGGTGTTTATTGTAAATGTGTATGTTATTCTAAAGTAGTTTTATGGTCTTATTAAATCTCTACTTATTATTATCTGACAAATAGTAAATTGTTAATTTTTGTGTTCAGAGTGAATATATTGCATATAATTTTGTATATTGTGTGGGCACAAATGATTTAGCCCCATATAACACTTGTTATTTTTTTGACAGATTATGGCAATTTGCTTGTGAGTCATATGCAGAACAGCTAATTGATGAAGGTGACATCATAACAGGTGCTTCATATCTTATTAATATCCTCAAGGTAAGTGTAATGTAAAATTATCTGATATCTCTTTTATAGTATTCTTAATGGTAAACCCAATGCCTCTAGGAAAATTTGGTTGACTGGGCTTGCCCCTGGGGCTTATTGTGGTGTGCTGCACTGGTTGTGCTACACCGACATAGTGATATGATTTTTTTTGTGTCACTTGTATCTAAAACATGATTTTAATGTAATTGCATATTCAGAGATTTTGTGATATTCGTTTTAGCTACTAGATCGAACCTGTATTTCCGTTTTATGTGCATTAGAATCCATTTCAATAAATTAGGTGTGTTACAATTTGTGTAAAAGATGGAATCTGGTTTAATTGGGTGGGAGAAAAGGATTTTCTCTCATTTTTCCTAATCTTTTTCTTCTTAAATAAAAAAATTGTATGTAATTATATACAAGGCTGCAAATCCCATGGCTTCAGTGCTTCCCCTTTGTATGTCATACTGCAAGACAGTCACACTTGCAGAGCACCATTTGACAATGTGAGGAGACTGATCATGTAAATTCAAGTAAAGTTACCTACTGGTTCATGAGAGTACAATGTGTTGGTGCATGACACATCACAAGCATAGCTGGCAAGAAATTTATGTGCTAAATATTGCCCCTTTTGTAGTATACAATAGCCAATCAGAGCATTACACATCCTGTTCTCTGTCAGGCAATGCCCCAGTGTATGTCAAATGTGGGCATGAGGGTACCTTAAAAAGAACAGCATTAAAATGTAATGCATGCATCATAGTAACATGATGTGAATGACTTGTCACTTGGAGCTGTGTTTGTCAGTCATAACATGAATGACCTGTCACCTGGAGTCACCACCAAGTCAGCCATGATGTGAACCCCACGTCATCTGGAGGCCAAGGATTGAATATGTTATTGGAGAGTAAATCTTTGTAAATATTAGGGCTATAAATTGATAATGAATGTGTGCCTGACTGACTATGTATTTTTGGGTGGGGAGGTTGTGTGGGTGGCTGGATGAGAGTTGTGCTTCTGTGTGTATATTAACCCATTGCCGCCGGGGAAAATGAACAAAAAATGGAGGAAATACAGTACTCATTTTTTATATTTTTGTGAAATATGTCTATCCATAGATGGCTCTGCTAGTCCTGATTTCACCTTTCCTTGAATTGGCGGGAAACAACGTATTCTTACTAGTACTATCAATATAGATGGTGTTTTTTTTAACAGCAAATTAGGATAACGTTAAATATTTTTGTAAATTGATGAAAAGGGTGAACGGGCGAGACAGGCAGTACTCGTAATTGGCTCATTGATACTTAGTACAAGTGTAGCCATCTATGTGTAAAAACAATCGAACAAGTCGGCTCACAGTGGGCATGGCATGTAAGTACATGCCATCCCCGGCGGCAATGGGTTAAGTTGTGTGTATGTTATGCATATTATTGTTAACCCAATTGGCATGGATGGCAAGAGTACATGCCATGCTCACTGTAATATAAGTTTATTTTTTGTATTTACACATAGATGGCTCTACAAGTGCTTAATCAGTCTTTTGTATTATATCATTGTCTTAAATGTTATGAAGATTTAAAGAACAATTTAATAATCATAGCATCAATAACCATAATAACAGTATTAATATCCATTGTGTTGAAAAGAAAAGCACATTTTCCTGCCAATTCAAGGAATGAGGAAATCAGGATTGGTCACTAGGGCCTACTGATAGACGCCTTGCCAGTTGAGCACATGTGGAGCCATCTATATGTAACAAAATTTACAAAAAAATACAGTGGACAGAACGTAAATCCGTGGTGGTTGGGTTAATATTATAAAGACTATCACATATGGATAATTTTTATATAAAAGGTCCTTTTCATTTCCACCAAAGGTTGAAGAAGCAATCAACATATTACTCAAGCATCATTATTATCGAGAAGCTCTCGCTATTGCAAAGAGTCGCTTAGGTTGCAATGAAGAAATAATGAACAAAGTGGTGACAGCTTGGGCTGCTTCAGCAATTTATGAAGGAAGCTTTGATGTTGCTGCATTGCTGTAAGTTTCTACTGTTTCTTATTTTTATATTATTATCACATTGATATATTGTACAGATATATATATATATGTATTTTGTGTGTGTGTGTGTGTGTGTGTGTGTGTCTGTGTCTGTGTCTGTGTTTGTGTCTGTGAGTGTGTACACAGACATCATGTTTTATGTTGTCATGTTATTACTGATGGATGATTCTTGAATATATATTAAGTAATTGCAGACATAGCAAATTAAAATGCTGAAAAAAATTATGATCATAATAATAATTTATTATACAATAAAGAAAAGTTGAACATTTGAAGTAGGTTTTTGTGTATATATAATAATAGTGATAATTTTTTTAATGACCAATACAGCCAGTTGAGTATTGGACAGGTGGAGTCAGCAGCCCGCGCTATGGCTCGGAAGAGTGACGCAGGCTCTCTCTTTGTGGCTGCTAAATTATATGCCGGTGCAGAGAAGGATGATCTTGCTAAAGCTATGGGCCTCTTGGCTCTCAAAGAAGCCTCTCTCAAGCATGAACATGGGAAGATTGAGTCATTCCTCCAACATCTCCCTGGGTTTGATGTGAGTTCAGTATTTGGTATTTTGAATAGTTTTGAGTTGTATGAGGATTTCTAGTTGAGGCTTTCTATTGATTGTTTATTTTCTCATTTCGTAGTTATGATGTACATTGTTATTTAAATTGCTAGATATTACAATTTTATTGGAATTTAACTTCTTGCTGCCTGGAAAATGTAATGTTCACATTGTTTAATTTTGTGAAACATCTCTATACATAGATGGTTTCACAAGCACTCAGATACCAGGGAGTCAATTAGCAGTGCTTGTGGTGTCACCTGATTTCCCCTTTCTGTGGATTTTTAGGATTTTTAAAATTTTACTTTTATTCTTTTTTACTAATTCCATGAATACCGATTTTTATTTTTATTTTTTATTAACAACATTATAATGATTATAATCTCATTAATATTACAGATAGCAATATGAGGCAGAAGTGAATATTTCCAAAAATCATGTAAAATGGTATACAAGTGAGATAGGTAGTACTAATTATTGACTCCTTTGTTACTAAGTACATATAGAGCCATTTATGTGACTTGTAGAGCCATTTTTGTGTAAAGACAATTCATAACCTAAACTCACAATGGGCAGTCTGTGCATGCCATTTCTGATGGTGTTAGGTTAATCCTGTTGAAAATGGAACTTTTTAATTCCAAAATATTTTGATACATTTTTCCATTGATTTACTTGATGCATACTTCTATATATTCATTCTTACATTGCAGTGGTATAAAGCAGTATCATCTTGCCATAATGTCTACTTGCAAATACTACAACAAGTCAGTTCAGAAATGGAAAGGGGAGAGAGATACTTGATAGGTGATACTGCTGAAAATAGAGAAGGTAACACCAATGCAAATGGAGAGAAGAAGGCAGAGTCCGCTGCTGCTTCTGTGCCATTGGTTCTCCGGCCTCCTCTCGAGAGAATCAGGGAGGACTGGAGCAAGATAGGGATTACCCAGGAGCAGTATGGAGACTTATATGAGACTATCACTCTCAATTTCTCTATGCAGCAAACTCCTACAAACGTGAAACAGGTTTGTTTATGTAATTTGATGTAAATGAAAATTAAATATTTGCATAGAAGTGATCTACCATTTTCATAAGGTTATTTCAATAATAGGTGCTTCATTTAGTAAATATCTTATACTTGATATTTATGTCATTGTTCAAACAAATTTGAGTAATATTTTTCTGGACATTTTACTTTCTTTTTTCCACTGTATTGCATGAATTATGAATCTAGAATTTTATGTTATAGGAATGTTTCTTTGTAGAAATGCCAGAAAAGAGGAAATTACTGTAATATTTGATATGTAGAATATACAAAGACAGAATGCAATAAAACATTAATTGCTCCTTCAGCTGTGGTACCT